ATGTGACCATGCTGCTTAGCAGCGGAAATTCCAGCACTTTCAGTTGCCATTGTTAAGCAAATCATGGATTGTTAAGTGAGGATGTCACATGATCACTATTTGCGACTTCCTGCCAGCTTCCCCATTGCTTGTAGGAAGCCAGCAAAGAAAGTCACAAATGGTGATCACATGACATCCTTGGTTAACAATCTGTGATTTGCTTAACAATAGCAACTGAAAGTGCAGGGACACTGCAACCAACGTAACTATGAGGACCAGTTGTAACTACCACTCGTTCAGCACCGTCATAAGTTTGAATGGTTGCTGAATGAGTGGTTGTTAAGCGAGGACCACCTGTACTTGTGGGAAGGATATCCTGGTAAACTGCAGATTAAAGAGCCAATACAATTTGCAAGAGGTCTAATGTTGAGATCATGGGAAGTGATAGTTGTGATCCATGTTATACTGTGTCCAGTTCTGATCACCACAATACAAGAAGGATGCTGAGGAACTGAGGTGAGTGCAGAGAAGAGCAACAAAGATGGTGAGGATTTGGAGGCTAAATACTATGAAGAATGGTGAAAAGAACTGGGTGTGTTTAGAAGAGAAGGCCAAGGGGGAACATGATAACATGTCATGGGGAAGGGCTGTCCCAGGGAAGAAGGTGTGGATTTATTCTCCATTGTGCCCAAGGATAGGACAAGGACCAGTGGATGGAAGCTTTACAGAAAGTGATCCAAACAGAGTAGGGAGGAAGTTCCTGATTGTGAGAGCTATGAAGCAATGGGACTGTGTGCCTCCTGGAGTCATGGGGGCTCCATCACTGGAGAATTTCAAACCAAGATTTGTCTGGGATGGTCTAAGGATTCCTGCCCTGGATGGGGAGTTGAACTAAAAGACCTCCAAGCAACCCTAAATTTCTATGAATCAGTGAAAGGTTGAGGAACTGGGTGGTGTGAGCTCAGCTGTCTGCAGGACTGGGCTAGGGGGCAAATGGCGACATGTTTGCATCATGAGGCAAATGATGTGACTTGTGTACTTGTGTCAGACACTGAGATGTGACTGTTGAGTCCTCTGCATGATTCTATGGTGCAATTTTGACTGCATAGCAGTTTGTTCAGGATATTGCTGTGTGTGAGTTTCTATATGGAGTCTTGTCCCGGGGGGACTAGGCATGGCCAGATCTCTTATCCTCAGCAGTCTCCTGCTGTATCCAGGAGGTCTTTTGTGGGCCACCCCCTGCATAGAATTGAGTGCATGCAAGTGCAATAAACACTTGCTTCTGTTTGCATGGCGGCAAGCGCTTGCTAGATTGCTCCTGTTCTTGCCAAATTCTTTACATTCCTTATTCCAGGAAGAGTCAGGGAGTTTGTGCATATTTCACCTCAAGCAGGTTGCATGGGTGCCCCAGCATGGAGTGGAGTAGGAATGCTGTAGGATAGAAAGCCATTGCCTGACTGGTTGGACTGGAGAGAAGGGGTAAAACTGGCCTTTCTGATGTTGCTGATGCATGTTTTGTAATCAGAAGGGTGCCTGTGCATTGATCAGTTGGCTTTAGAACCAAGCCAAGGGCCATTGGAAGCGCAGAGGAACAGCAAAGCTAGTGCAGACTTAAGACTGGTTCAGAGGTGTTGTATTTGAACATCACCAATTGGATGATTGACCTCTGGCCATGGGAAATCCTATTGCAAATAAAGTTCAGCGAATTTGGCTCAGTGTTGTGCTGTTTTTTAAAGAAGTAAATCTGCTTGAGAGCTTCCTTGTTTGCAGGCTGTTTCGTCTTCTTTGAGGGGAGACCGGACTGCAGTGCCGGCAATCCTGGGGGTCACCTGCAGTGACAGCGAAGCAGAGTGTGATCTGGGGCATCCTTCCGATGGCTTTGTGTATACAATGAACGCAACTTTGGTTGTAACGCAGTGATATGTGAAACTGGACTGAATGTAGAATGTAGAACATTAGAAATTAGACCTCTCGATTTAACTTAACCATATCTGCCCCATTGTTTCTGGGAGCTCTCAATATTGGGAAGATAGTGTCAGAAACATGCCCCATTGTCTTACCTTAATTTAGGTAGTTGGTATTGCTCATACTCATTGTTGTGTGTGTTGTGTTTAAGGAAATTATCCACCAGCGTCAGTTGTTTTCTTTTGCAGCAAAACTCAGTTTTGTAACCTGCATAGATTGGGTGAATGTCTTTTACTTGCAGCTAAAAATTATTTATTTGTTTTTATTAGTCACGAAAAGCCCAAGGAGCTATGCAGGGTGCTGATCTCACCCCTCTCTTCTTTCTTATGTGACTAGAAATCCTGTGTTGCCTTTCCCTCTTTTCCCATGTGGAAGATTTTATCATGAACTTTCCCAAATGTTTTCAAGTAAGCTGATTATCTAGCAACCAAGTAAAATAATATTTTTTTAATTGGAGGAATGCTGGGATTGCTCAGTGGTTAGGGTTGATCAGGTTTCATTGTTATAGCTTTTTTTTTTTTTTAATTGCCGGCTAAGCTGTAAGCTGTTTTGGCTGTAAGGAATCGTAGTTCTATTGTGGTTGGACTAAGTCATCTCCATTATAAAAGCTGTTTAGTGTGGGATCAGTATGATAATCATCAGCTAGCTGTTGTTAATGTAGAAACAAATTGGATCTTCTATCTCCTCCTGAGCCATTTCCCCCAAAGTGAGTTTGGCCAGATGTAAATGATTATTTGGTGAGGTCGTAGGTGTGTAGATTTATGTTGGCTAGGAGTAGTGTGTTGCATTCCTCCCTCTTCCAAGAGGTGGGGTGGAGTGAAAAATTAGGGTATATCTCCAGTTTTGGTAACTGAAAGCAATATTTAGTTATCTATATTTATTTAAAATGTATGTAGGCCATCTTTAACAGGAAAACCCCATCCAAGGGTTTTTTCAATAATATCCAGTGCTTTAGAAACATTCATAAAGTTGGGCCTACCCATGTCTGCATTCTTTTTCCTAATAAGTCTGTACTCTGTAATTGAGGTCAACATTCAACTCCGAAATGCTTTAGCAGAACTTGTGGTTGTTGCAAAGTCCTCTTTTCAGAACATGCAATATGAAGGCAAGCAATTTACCTTCCAAACCTCTTTAGTGGGGGTGAAATTATTTTGTGCTAGGGCTGTATTTTCCCCAGTTTTTAAAGCCGTTTCTCTAGGTATCCATGGTGAAGATAGCCTCAAGTTTCTAAGAGTCTTGCTGGTGTATGCATTTCGGGTCAGAAGCGTGCTGCTGGCAGTAAATCAGTATGCAAGAATGTACAGCAGCCTGGGATCCAAGAGATGCTTTGGATTAAAAGCGTCCTTTTTGGAGGAGTCACTTTAGTTCTGGAGGAAAGTTCAGGGAAGGAACCTGAATTCTGAGGGAGTTTGACCAGCATGAATGTTCAGGTGTCCTGACATTCTTCTGATTTGGCCCAGAAGAGTTTTGGTTTAGATCAAACAGATCCTGCAACAGTTGAACCACTTCCCCAACCTTTCAGGCTGATCGGCTAGTTCTGTTTCTGTAATAGCCAGCGCACGTTAAGAACCTGCGGCTAAATCATAATAGAGGTCTACCTCACTCCAGTCTTCACTTGATCAGATGTCCCACGAACAGGACATGAGCAAAATGGCACTTGTATTCCTGATCAAGTGGTGCTGAGAAGCATGTGGACTTCTCCCTTGGACAGTGGAAGTAATGTGAATCCATCAAGACCACGGAAGGATTTTCATCCGTGAATTGTTTAATTTCACTTTTAAAGCACTTTTTAGATGCTGCCATCCCTACATCTTGGTCATCTCATTGCTCATCCCTAACTCCAGATTTTTTATTAGCAGTCTTGAGAGGTGGCTAAAAAGTATATTTTGCTGTTGTAAGTTGGTGATGGTACACCGGCAGTGGAAGTGACTTGGTTGCAAGCATTGCCATCCCAGAGTCACCTTGTGTAAGATGGGCGGCTATATAAATATGATTGATAAATAAATAAACAAATAAATCCCAGAAAGTATTCACTTGGATTCAGCCTTAGTTTTTGGCTTGTGACCCAAGAGCTGTGGTTGCTTGTTCATGAGGATCATTTAGTGAACAAAAACTGCAAAATGCTTCGCCCTTTAGAAGTGCTGGGAGAATCGCTATTAGCGTAAATAATTCCTATTCCAGAGGGATGGCTTTGCTCAAGTGCTTACTGCTGCTGCAGACTGAGTCTTGCAGCGCTTCGTTTGTTCTACTCACCTTGTTCTGTAAGAGAACTAGATCCAACGTTCACAGCATTTCAGAGATAGGGTTATTACCATAAAGAATGGACTGGACTTTGGAAGCATTTGTAGTTAAGCACTATGCAAGTTGCAAATTGCAAAGTGCCAGACCGGTAGTCTTTTTTTCTTTTCTTTTCTTTTTTGTTCTCCACAATTTCTCTAGGCCAATCTGCTGTAGATACCTGGGGCCCTCAGGCACTTAAGTCATTTACAGTTTCCCACACAAGCTGTTAATCTGTCTCTTGGTCCACACCAATGCTATTTGTCTCCAAGGCAGTGTTTCCCAAGTCAGTGCCTCCCAGGTAGGTTAGTCAGGAAGGATGGAGATGATGGGAAATGTAGCCCATTTGAAGGACCTCTAGTTGGAGAAGGCTGCTATAAAGGGAAGGGGTCCCTGTCTGAACTGGAGGTGATGGGTGCTGAAGATAGCCCCCTCTCCTACCTTTTGTAACTTTATCTGCATAATGCCCAACTGATGGTTGTGCAGGCTTCTTGATATTTTATTTGTGTGTATGTGTGAATTATGAGGAATAAAGATGAGTCTGTAAGATTGTTGAGTGCGGAAGGCTTTTTTGGATCGAGGAGAGAGAAGAAGAGCGAAAAATCCTTTGAGTTGCCTGAGCTCCAAGTAATTTGCTTAAACTTTGACTATAGGTTAATCCTGGATTAAGGCAGGGCAAGACCAGTGTTTTGTCAGGCAAAAAGGGGGTTTAGGCTTTTTGCTGGGTTCGTAGCAGTCTCTGAGCGCTGCTGATTGGCTTCCTTCCTTTTCTGCTGCAGGACTCTCCAGCAGAAAGCTCATCCTGGTGCCCAAGTAGCACCGTGAAGGGAGGAGTCTCGAGCCAGCACGACTTACTCCAGTGACCCGCCCTGTCAACCAGTTTGTTCTGCTGTGCTCCTGAGCAGCTGGAGTGAGACAGTGCGCTCGAAAGCAGTCTGGTAAAGGCTTCTGGATGGCTCTGAGGAAGGTTGCTGGAAGTCGCTGGAGGTGAAGCAGAAGGGGCCAACGCTCCACTCCATGCTTGGTGATAAGAAGGACGGGAGCAGAGAAGCCTGAGGTCCCGGGGAAACAAGTCCTTCAAGGACTTTGTGCTGAAACAGCTGCAAGATCAGGACTGTCTGGAACGAAGCAAGGCTGCTGGGGAGTCGACACTTAAATGTATGGTCAGGTTTGTACTATGCTCGGAAGAAGATGCAGTCGTGGGCAGTTCTCCCAGATCCTGCTGTGGGCTCCTTATCTGGCAGGAGGGCTGTTGAACACTGTTAGGAGTGGGATGGCAAGTCAAGGAGATCTGCTCATGTTGGCCTCCAGGCACTGAGGTCATAGCTTATAAAACAAAGGAGACGGCAGGCAGAGTGTTATAAAGAGACTGAGATTGCAGTCGGAATCGTAGTAACTTCCTTTTACAGGGGCACCTGGAAACTCAGCTCCTGCTCCTGCTTCATTCGGATCGGGAGGCTGATTAAAGCAGGCTGAGACCCAGACTGAATTTGCTGGGCTGAGGATTAAAGCTGATACCAAAGAATGAAGGATTTATGCCTCGTTTTTCTCAGTTGGAAGTTGCCTTTTGGGGGTCTTCTGAGTTCCCTATGCTATGGAGGAAAAGGGCTAGCAGCAGGCCTCCCTACATCAGCTTGAGCCTCTGCCACCACCATAGGTAGGCAGCTGAAATACCTCCTGAGCATCCTAGTGATCCTTTAGGGGTGGTCCACAAATCCCTCTTTTTGTGGGTGCCTGTGTTCACAGGTTCTGCTTGGATGAAGAAGGGCGGAAAGGTGCAGCTTTCATTGTTAGTTGATGTGGAGAGGCCGTCTCAAGTGATTAAAAGCCAGCTTTCTTTTCAATTCGTGAAGATGCACCTTCATCAGAACGGTTGTTGCCATCTTCTTGCCAAGCTCCTCTGAAGAGGTGCTGGTGGTGCTCAAGGGGGCTTTTAAGCCACTACCCCCTCCCCCAACCTCTCCAGTCCATCAGTTCCAAATGCTTTTGACTGTGAAACGCAGGTGAGGAGCTGTTGCTGGCCAGATATGGCAGAACACCTGGAGCTGCTGGCTGAGATGTCTGCAGTTGCCCGTATGGGTACCCAGGAGCGACTCAAGCATGCCCAGAAGCGCCGCACACAGCAGCTGAAGAAATGGGCGCAGTTTGAGAAAGAAGTGCAGGGTAAGAAGGCTAAAGTGGAGAAGAAAAGAAAGAGGGCCGCCAAGGAGAAGCGAGTGGTCTTTCCTGAAAACATCCTGCTTTTGGAGGCTGCAGGCCGCAATGATGTGTCAGAAGGTAGGTGGGGAAAACCGATCTTTGGGGGCTGAAGCAATGTTGTTCAGAGGGGTATCCCCAGATTTGTACACCAAGCACTCTCGTGGTCAGATAAAGGCACCTGGGATAGGCAAGCCTTTTGGCCTGGGGGATGCATGTGGAATGTTCAGGGCATGATGTGCACCCTCGCCAAAAGGTGCCCCCGTATCCTTCTAGACCAAGCGGATGCTTCCTACTGTCGCTGGTATGTTTCCCCCCCCTGTTGAGTGAGCAGGGGTTGGACCATCCATCATTTTCAGTTTCTGAGAATGCCTAAGGGTCCTGCCTGGGAGCAGAGGTGTTCTTGGAACTATCAGTTGATGCTAGATGAAGGTGCTTTGCTTTGTAGCAGGCCAGCTTCCCAATTATGTATTTATTTTTCATAAAAATAATCTTTAAAAAATTAAACTCAGGATGTATTCCCAGGGCTGCCATTTGCTAGCTCTGCCCTAAATACTGACAGGCAAAGTAGAAAAGGCAGTGTTGCTTTATTTCTGTTCTGCTTTTCTTCCTTTTTCTAATTTCAGTTTATATCTTGCTTTTCTGAGTGTAGAGTTATCAGGTGGCTAAATGATCTAATATGAAAGGAAAATAATTAAAAATGAATAAACAATCAATATTATTAATATTGCAACCTAGAAAGCTTCTTGTGATTTTAACTGGACCCTGCTGGCTGTATAGAAATGCCTGTATAAAACGTAACTGTGCTCGAACAGCTGGGCTCATGTATCATGCTAAGTCAAGCCATGGTTTGCTTAACTGTAGTTTATTGAATAAGCCATCATTATCTAGATTCATACAACATGCTGAGCCGAAACCAGACAAACCAAATCAAGGTTAGACAGTATTTGAACCTATTCAGTCTCCTGCAGAGCCATGTTATTCTAAAGTCTAGATCAGGGGTCAGCAACCTTCTTCTGCATAGGGGCCAGAGGCCATGTTGCTGCTGCCATTTCTTCCTCCTTGCTCTTGCTCTCACCAGTGCTGGGTGAGGGACTTGTTGCTCTGCTCGGCCTGAGGCAGCTGGTGAAGCCATCACCCAAATGGTTGCCCAAGGAGTGGCAGATATAGTGTTTGGGGACCGCAGTTTGGATGATTTCAGGTGGCAGGCCACATCTAGCCCGTGAGCTGTGGGTTGCCCTGGTCTAGATAATTCTGAGATGGGGCTGCAATGATGCACGTATGACATCATTAGAGTGTGCTCACTGGCACCCCTCCCCAACAAATCAGTCCATTTAAAAATAGTTAAATAAGAAGAAGGCAGTAGAAAACCACTTCCATATTATTGCCAAGAAAGCTGTGTGGGTCTGCCCAAGTCACTAGAAAGTGAGCTTGACTTGAGGGAGGCTTTGCCTTTTTTATACTTTTTGTAAGATTACAGCTAGGTAAGGCAAATGGAACCCTTTGAAGGAGGAATCATATTTCTAAACCTCCAGAGGGACATGACAGCTGCCTGTCTGCCTGTGTGGCAGCTTCCTCGGGCCCGTCTGAGTGGCCTTTCTTTTCCCCTTTGGTTGATGGAAATCCTTGAGTCCACATTTTCTCATCCCCTCTGTAGGTGCCTTGCCTCTGTTATACTTCTTTCCTTTGGAAACGAGAGCGAGCAGCTCGCTGAATCCCATCTCTTTGGGAAGGGGTTGCCTGTGATGCGTGACAGGAAAGGTGATGGTGGTTGGAGGTGGGCCATTTCAGAATGCGCAAACCTTTGAGTTGAACAGAGCACAATTTGGAGCACAGTTCTATGCATGTCTGCTAAGTTCAGAGGAACTTACTTTGCTAGAGAATGCACTCATGGAGTTTACATTCCAGTAAATAGTCATGCACAGTACAAGGTCTGGGTGCTGTCTGACAAGATTCTTGCAGCTGCTCCTTCTCTAGTCCAAGTTGGTCTCCTCCTTCCCATGATGTTCTTGCAAGCAAACAGCTGATACAGCCTCCTGGTAGCTCTTGTTCTGTTCTGTTCTGTTCATGTGTACCACAGTTTCAGCATGAGGCAGACCTTGAGCCCTTCAAGCATTTACAAATATCTACTGTAATTTTTGTCAAAGGAAGTGTGCTTACAGCCATGGGATTTCATGCAGACCGCACTGTTTTGGGATTAATTAAAAATGGAAACTTCTTAAGGTCCACGCAGAATGAAAATGGATTATTCTGTCCTGATGAAAACTCACCTGGAAGGCTTGTGCCTGTCTTTTATACAGTTAGGTTCTACTAGCTGGAGCCTTCTACCATCCCTAGTTGCTGCTTTAGGTGGCAGCTTTTTATCCAAACGAGAGTGGTCATTATAGTTGAAGGAAAACAGCCTGACCATTGGCTGAACCTTTGGCTAAAATGGGGACAAGAATAAGGCAGTTCCTGAGTTGCGTGGTTGCTTCCCTTATTGACTGGGATAATCCCCACCCCCCTTCAAAGCACACCTACTTCACCTGCTGCCTTTTCCCTGGTGGCTGAGGGACTGCAGCTGGGAGCTAGAACTTCTGGTGGGCAACTGCTCTTCATCCACCTTCCTCCTCTTCGGCCTGAGGTCTTGGTCATCTTCTGTCTGTAGGACTCCTCCCTTGGTGTCCTCTGAGGGAGATTAAAACAAACATGACCGACAGCCTGGCAGAAAGAGGATTGAGCAGAGACATAATTACAGTTTACTCATATTTTAGAGACTTCCCCAAGGAAGCAAGGGAATAATTTCTTTGTGAGTACAAACAAGAAGCCTTTTGTTTTATGTATCTCAGAAAATTAGGGCAGGCACATGTAAATCGAGATGGACAGCCTTTTCACAGCCATGAGTTGCAATTTTTAATTTTTTTCCAGTGACATTGGGACATTGGACCAGGTGGGTTCTCCCATTGGGGTCAGAATTTTCTGTCTGATCTTTTCATTTTTTAAAATAAATGTGAATAGATGCATTGAACTTATTATTATCCATCAAAAATTGACAATAATTTAAAATAGTGAGTGTGGTATTTTCAGGAGCTGCGAAGGCATATGCAAAAAACACCTGGGAGTTGTTTTTGGACCCCCTCTGGTTTTCCTTCCCAATTATCCTGTGTATGAAAAGATAGCCAAGAGAAAAACTTTCACTGTTTTTACAAATACACTTCACTGTGGGCAATTTCTGGACTGCAGTGTTCTTTCAGTTTTGCAGCAAATTGCCTTGTCCAAGATTTGATCTCTAATCCATCTGGACTCATTAGCTTTGTTAAAGAGTAAATAATCTATTGTTTGGAAACCAGTGTTACATAATTGAAAGAAATATATTTCTAACGTATTTTTCTACAAATATCCTGAGGCTGGGGACAATTACATAGTAAAGGAAAACTTCTACCTGATCTAACCTGCCGCAAGGCAGAAAAGTATGCTGTCTAGTAACTAGCTGAATCTACCTTCCAGAACTGCAGAAAAAATGAGCTGGCATTGGGCAGCAGACAAAATTTCATGTCAAAATATCCTCTGTGCCTGACTTATATTTTACTAGATTATACTAAAGGGACTGCTTTCATAACTTTGAATGGCATTAAGCACTTTTGCATACATCCTAACAATTTCACCATTAAACCTGAGTCTTTCAGAGGGCATATATAGGTCTGGGTCTGAAGAAGACGCGCTGTTGTAGCAGTTCATCTGTGGACACGGAGGTGGCTCTGCAGTCCCAGTCTGGAAGCGCGGAGTCTAGCACAAGGGGGGCACTGGAAGCCCCTTGTTGTAGTGGGTGTTATTCTGGGATGCTGCTCATGGTTTTCTGTCAGTTTTTGGCAGCACCTGTCTTCAAAGCCGGGGGAGGCTCCCTAGCACAGGGCTCGCCAGCGGGTTCTGTCAGCAGCCGCAGCTTCTAGTTCCTTGGCTGGATGGCACAGTGGCGTAGGGTTTCTTTCACAGTGTCTTTGTAGCGCTTACGTGGTCGACCTCAAGGTCTCTCCCCAGACTCCAGTACGCTATAGAACAACTGGCGAGGCATACGGTGGTCATCCATTCTGATGACGTGTCCCACCCGCTGCATCCGGGCTCTGATAATCAGGGACTCAGTGCTGGCGGACTCCGCGTGATCCAAGGCCCCCAGGTTGGAG